CCCTGGAGATGTAAATTCTTCTTAACCATTTCACCACAATGAAAAGAGAGTGATTTCCTTTGCTTTCTAAATTCCAGTCACATCGAAGTTAATTTAGTTCTTTTGAGTGTCACCACATATTTCTAGTCCCAGACTGCCAGYAGCTCAACATTAAAGGGGTGATTCYTCATATCTATATCAGCCACATGTTCTCAGTTTTGCTTGTCTTGTTGGATAAATAACTATATCAATCTTTTCAGCTGTCTTAACTTTTTATCCAAATAATGTATGTATTATTTGCTTATAAGGTTTTTATAAGCTTCTCTTATTGGGTGGCTCTATATCACCCTTCATCCTTTTTTTCACTTTCTTGCTAAAGAAAGGTCCAGACATTTAAACCTGCCTATATCCCTCCCAACATTAGATATTTAACTAAAACATTCAAYATTTAACTGAATCATGAAGTTGGTCCTCTTAGGACCCTTCTAGAGTCAATAAAGACAGAGCAACTTTCAGATACTTATCAAGATCTTAAAATTAATTTCTTCAACTCCTTCTTTCACCTGAGAGACCCCTATGGCAACGGTACTATTTACGTAGTCACCTTTACTTAGCCAAAAAATCAAATTTTTAGTCAGAATAATTAGCATATCTGAGAGTTCTTTAAATAGTACATGCATAAATATACTAATTTGGGAAAAGTATGGCTTAGGGTTTTTATTTTTTTAATGCAAACTATGTTTCTCTTGCTCAAATCAGAATTATTAACATTTTCAAYATGAGAGACATATTTCCTTGTGTGAGCAAACATGCATTGGAAAGGAATGGTTTCATGATAGAGGCTAATGATCTGCTCTATCAGGTTCACACACAGAATAGAGACATAACAAAGTTCCACACAACATTCATATTAATCCAAAGTCACAAAGATATTGTTGAGCAAGCGCCCCTCGTTATATCTGGACTGTTTGCCCTGAAAGTCAGTGCAGATATTCTGCCATTCAGATTTCACATCAAGCAGGTCTTGGCTGAATATCAGTTGCAGGTAATTGCATTTTATTTCTAAAACAGCTTTAGTGAGATCCGCAAAACTTTATGGGTTTAAGAAGAGTTCACCTGTTACCTTGTGCAAGGAGCATTACTGTAACCAAAAAATCATCAAGCATAAACTTGCCAAATCCAATAAAAATATATGTAGCATCTTCTGTGCTTGTGAACTGTAGTTGTGTGAAGTAGTTTTTAATTTTAAATTTCTCTTCCACACACCTCTGTAACTATCCAGTCAAACAAAACAGACTTTACAGATTAAATTAGTTTACTCTGTCAGGYTGGCAAAGACTTAATTGAAAAAAAAAGGAGGACTTTTATTATCTTTCAGTGAAATCTGTTAATGCTTAAAAACAGCATTTTAGAATGCTTTGTTCAACTCATTCATATAAAGCACTGATCTGAATTTCTTCAGTTTATGARTTATTAAAAATGCAAAAAAGTTTATGAGGTTTCAAAACTGCATTTTGAATAACTGTGTATTTTTGGTGTGTCTTTATAGGGGAGGAATGGCAGAATGTATGACCTACCTGGTGTTTCCCTGGAAAGACAGCATTCTTCATCTCAGGACAAATCTACAGGGAACCTGTGAAATTGCCTGATCTTTTTCCTAGGCACGTAATGCCTCTCACTGAGAGAGAAAAAGATTAATTTACTTTTTAAAAAGAATATTTATGAACTCAAGGATTAAAATTAATTATTTGAAATATCAGATCCTTATTGGAGAAATCCAAATATCCTTAATTGTCAAATTAAAAGAGAAATAAGTATACACTAATACATATATCTCTGTATAGAAGTATGTAAAGGGAAAAGAAATGGGTCTTATACAACATTCAGTATATAAGCTATCATTTTCTCTCCAGATTTTGACCTGAAATGCCACCTGTGGCCACTGTTTACTCCTGTTCTAAACCCACTGATGGTGTGTTGGGGCACCACCATCGTATGGATGTGTCTGGTACCTTAACAGATGCAGTAAGTGCATTCATTACTTTACAAATAAAGTATTTCTATGGCTACATGATAATGTAGCCACAAGGAAAAAGGTACTTTAGAGTATGTACTATGGTGCATGGATGGGARCAATCCTATGTTTTTCTTCATGTCACACTCCTCACCCCCAGTTTTGATCTACTGTATTTACTTAACGTAACCACTTCATATTTGGGAATATTTTTTTCCATCACTCTGCATGGATCTTTCTATACTGTTTAAAGTTGTCCAGCTTTCCTTGTTTTTCTGATCTCCTGGAGTCGCTAACCAATTACAGTTGGGATCAAGGCCAAAACCAGCTAAGTATCACAACTGAGATTATCTCCAGTGGTACCTTAGCTAAACTGTTGAATAATCTTTTCTTTAGGGTTCAGATCAACATTGGTTGAGTTTTCTCATACCTTATGCCTTCCTAAAGGTTCTTAATTTTTGCTAAATTGTTTGTTTCTTTCTTTTTATAAAGCTTCCTAGAGGTCAGGTGGAGTCCCACCTTGGTTACATTAGCTGCAAATTAGAATAGCCCTCTTCCTTCACACACTTTCTCTGGAAAAAGAAGGGAAGATATATTATGGTCTCTGTACAGCTTGCCCTCAAACCACTAAAAGAAACTATTTCAGCAGATCTTGAACTGCACTCTCATTTTATTTTGCAGTGTCTCTGGATTATTTTAMATTTCATAAGAAGAAATGCAATTTTCTGCAGTTCACCTACTTGCAGGACACTACCAATGGTCAGACGGGCTTTTATGCAGTATTTCAAACCAGAAATCCATGACATAGGATGACCTGAYAACAAACTAGGTTAAACTGTTTCTTATTACACAAATGTTTCTTCCTCCTCACTGCTTACATGAGGAAGAAGTGGCTTTTTCTTCTCTAAAGAAATTCAGTTTTCTCCCTCACTGTGAGTTGACTGCTGATAAAATATTTTGAGAAAAATAAAATCTCATCTCAGGMGTTTCAATCTTAAAACAGGAAAATTCTGTTCTAAGCTAGGAAAACTCATCTGATTTTCCCATTGCAAAAATACAAATGAAAGCAAATCACATGACAGGTGGAAATGTAAAATCACAAACAACAGCAAAAGGAGCTACTGCACTATATGACATTGATTTCTTAACCTACTTTTATTTGTTCTTGTGCTTCACAGAAGAGAATATTACAGAGCATTCTGTAAGTTGTTAAAATGTGGTTTTCCCTGCTGATTGATACAATACTGCATCTTGAATGATTTCATTAGGGTGAAAGTGTTCTTATCTTACTCTGTTGCTCGAGATGTATCTGCACTCAAGAGTTGGGGAAGATAACTGTTTACAAAAGTGGGTTTCAACAACATGCATTACAAAGATGCTCGCATATGGATGCAGCCACACATTATCACAGTACCAGTAAGTAATTGTAACCAAGCTTTTAATGTCATTTATAAAAAAATAGAGTTATTTACATTTGCAACTTATTTGATGGCATCCTCTTTTATTACAACATTTGAATCTGTAAAGAAAGGACACTGTAAATCATTTGAGAGTAAACTTTTCAAAGATAAGCATAGCAGTACAGGAAAAATATTTAAAACACTGTGAATTCTTGTTATTTTGCAGCATCATACAAACACATTCTGTAAAACACATGCACTCGGGCCTTAGAGTAAGCAGAATTCCCTTCCAGATTAAGGCACAGAAATGCTGCCACATTTCTAGGGACAGCCCCACATTCTTACATGTGGCATTTCAAGACATAACCAAAGGAATTACATTAATTCCAACGGGTGGTAGCCTAAATGCAGAATGTGTCCACTTACACATTTTTAAGAAGACTCTGGTCAAAGTGACAATAAAAAAGAAAAAAAAAAAGTATGACTAATTGCATAGTTGCAGTAAACCRGATCCATGAATACAAAAGCCATCAAAATATATTATAAATCTATCTGACTTCCAAAGCTACTTTAAAAWACTGTTTTGTTTTACAATACAAATAACACTGTTTGGGGTTAGTTTGTAGAGTTGTATTTTGGTCCATGCTGTTAATTATATATCATTATATTCCTCTTCCATTAGTTTAAAAGCCTCAGAACAGCAGGTCCTCAGGCAGTGGTAACAGTGAAGAAGCCAAGACTTCAGCTGCTGCAGTCAGTTCATWAAAACTCAACCATCTCCATTCTTTACTGCTTTAAATAATCTGCCCTCAGAACACTAAGTGGAAAGAATGATGAGGGATACAGATTTAACACTGTTAGAGATGGGGGTTTGCCCCATCTTCTAGTCCTGAGCTGATAAATCACAGCTCTTAAAAATATCCAACCCATTAAAAAAATCAACAACAATAAAAAAAAAATTCCCAATTTACTCTGACTATGCAGTAGTTCCACATAATCTGCTTGCAGCAGAAACTTCTTTGGTATCAGAGTCAGGTCTTCCTGAAACCACAAACGGCCAAGTCTGTAAGCAAAAGAAAAGGTATTTCATATTAAAAGAAAGTTTATCTTTATATGAAACTGGAGCTTTATTACTGATAGATGTCTAACTCTGATTCAGTTGCAAACACGTCATCATGTTTTAGTCCCTGTGGGAAGCACAGAGAGAGCTGAGTTCCTCAAACAAATATTTTCATTACATTTTTCGTTATAATTAAGTGCTCTACAGAAGGTCTGCAATGGTCACTAACAGTGCTCTCATCCAAACTGCAATGTTTCTCTTKCTTTTAAACTGTTTGCATAATTTAATATATAAAAAGCAAATAGACTATTCCAAAACAATCACTCTGCTGTATATAAAAAAACGTTTTACCCCTGTGACAGCAGGCGTTTAGTTTTGTACCGATGAACTCATGACKCTTTGCTTGTGCTGCAGGCCAGCCCGCAGACCGAGTTACTCCTTTTTCGGACACTAAGCTTGCCTAATACCAGAGGAATGTAATCTTTAGGGTCCCTATTCCGACTCCCCAGGACTGACACACCCGCCTACACCGAWGGCCAAGCGCGGCCCTGGAGTCCCCCCTGGTGTGAGGGCGACTGGGGATTTGCGAAGCAGCCAGAGCCACCCGCCGCTTCTTCCAGGGCGGGCACGGTCCAAGCGCTGCCAGCCTTGCCCGAGGGGACCAGCCCTGCAGGGCTGCCCCAATCTGTGTCGGGGGTTCCCCCGGGGTGCCCCTCGCCGCATCCCGCCCGCCCCCGCGCCGTACCAGGTTGACGGGATGGACGTAGCTGTTCTCGTAGCGGTCCTCCTGCAGGAGCTGCCGGAGGTGGGCAATGTAGCTGGACGCCAGGCGCAGCGTGTCCAGCTTGGAGAGCTTGGTGTCGGGCGGCACCCAGGGCAGGCTGGTCTTCAGCCGGGAGAACGCYTTGCTCAGCACCCGCATCCGCGCCCGCTCCCGCGCGTTGGCCGCGTTGCGCTGGGACTGCTTCCCCTCGGGCGGCGGCGGCCCCCGCGGCCCCGACACCGCCTTCTTGCCCCCGGGGCCGCCGCYCCGCGCCCGTTTCCTCTTGCAGCCGCTGCCCGCCGGCCCCGCCGCGCAGCTGCCCTCGCCGTCCTCTTCCTCCTCTTCTTCYTCCTCTTCCTCCTCCTCCGCAGCCGAGGAGTTGTCCCCCGAGGGGYAGAGCTCGCCGCGGGGCTGGCGCTTGGCCGGCGGCGGCGGGTAGTCCAGCTGCAGGGCCCGCAGGTCCATGTCGGGCAGCTCCTCCGCCTCGCTCCCGGAGCCCGTGGACATGGCCCCGGACGGGCGGCGGGGAGGCGGGCAGCGCGGCAGGCAGGCGGGGGCGGACGGCCGAGCCCAGGCGGCCCAGAGCGGGGCGGCCCCGCCGCGGAGAGTCCGTGCCGGGGCGGGGGCGCGGGGGGGCGCGGAGGGGGGATGCGCCCCTTGACAGCGCTATATATCGGGTGTCCGCGGAGCGAACCATCTGCCGGGCCGAGGGGAGGAGAGGGGCGCGGAGGGGAGGAGAGGGGCGCGGAGGGGAGGAGAGGGGCGCGGGGCGGGGGTCGGACCCGGTGGAGCCCCGTGCTGGGGGCGGTGCCTCTCTGCGCTGGCCCGCGGTCCCGGACTGGTGCGACGATGAGCGGAGCCAGACCCCTGTATGGGGTACACAGGCGTATAGGGGTACACAGACACGCGGGATGTGTGTGTGTGTGTGTGTGTGTGTGCGTGGGCTCTTGGGAGTCACGCCTTTCCCACTGGACAGACCACTCTCCTCGCTCCGGAGGACGTAAAATACCTCCAGGGCTGGTCCCGCCAGTGTTTTCACGGGACGGAGCGCACCGCTCTCTGTCTCTAAACGCTAAGCGCGACCTGGGACTCTGCTCCCTGCCCACCTACACTCGCACTTTCTCTTGCTTTTCCTTCGAGGGCATGCGATTTCCCCAATGTATAACCCGCATGCAGCCGAGTGCTACGGCCAGACTGGACCTCCGCCTGCTTCGGGAAGCGGCTGTGCGGTCCCAGTGCCCTCGCCGGAGCGGGCGGAGGCAGTAGGAGACGGGGAACCCGGGGCTGAGTGTGCGGTGTGTGGGGGAACAATGAAAAAAGTCACTGAGAACGTGCGCACCGTGGTCCGACAGCGTCGTCAGCTAGGAGTGAAGCTCCAGACAGCAGCGAGTGGGTATAACTTGTCTGAGGGTTTGTCCGTCCTCAGAGCAATTAATTAAAACCCGTTCAATTGGGCTATGGACACCTCTCTGTCACAGATCAAATTAAACGAGACCGCTTTTCGAGCTGTTCACAGGCTTTTTAAACAAATTCCGTAATACAATTTTGTAACAGTCACCTCCGTCGGTGATGGAGGACCCCTCATCCAATGGAAATGCTGACATAGGAATTCAAGAGGTATAAATAATTTTTTTAAAATTTTAAAAATCAACCATCAACTTGTATCCCTCGCACCTCCACCAGAACATCTCCTTTTTTCACACATGAAGAACTAGCATTTGGTTCTTTGCTGGCTTTCACAACTTGGATACAATTAACCAGAATAAAAATGCACTTCTCAGAAAAGAACCTAATGACTACAGCAGGTGGAAAGATCTTGTCCCGCGTTTTCTGTTCACGGTTTTTCCCTTCCATTTCCCTCCCGACCGAGCAGAACCTTCCCGGCTGCTGCCACACAACTTTCCTGGCACTGCCGGCCGCCTTTGGGCCCAGAGTTTTGCTCCCCTCCCCGCCAGCCCTGCGGGCTCACTGAGGCCACTTAACRCTGTGCAAACCCTGACTTCACCCACTGGGGCTAGAACCACATCAGAGCCGGGTTAAACGGCAGCCTTTCCAAGTGAAACTTGACATTTCTTGAACCACCTAAACAGGCAGCTGATCTTGCAACTGGATCTCTTGAACTTGGTTTGACACTACAGTCGATGCTCGGGCTGTGTCCCACACACTGCACGGTGAAAGGGCAGCACGCTGGRCTTGGGGGTTGCTCTTCCTCCCCARTTAGACTACATTATCCGTATATATATATGTGTACATATAATATATATATATGTACAAAAAGATACTGCAGGGGAAGAGATATAGGTTTACTTTATCCCCCCATCTGGGTTGTTTATACAGGTGCGGGCTGAACGCTTTCCCTGCTAAAGATTAATGGGAGAAAGTGCTGAATTTCTTTAAGCAAAGAAGAAAATGGTACCCAGTCTTAAAAGCCACAATGGCAAATCTCACCTTTCCTGCCTACCTCTGCCTCGGTGGATTAAATGTGACACATAATGGACACCTTTACTCATTTAATGAAAGAACAGGGGACAGGGAGAGTAGCCAAATTCTCATATCGTCTTTGCCTACTTGGTTTGTAAAGGAAATGGGAAATGGAGTGGAGTAAATCTGAAGTGAAAGYCAGGCTTTACTTCGGATTTAACTCAGTGTTTGAGAGCAGAGCTGACTCTCTCACATCTATCAAACCGTTAATTTTTGTGACCCTGACGAAGATATCATTTTCAGAATAAAGTCTTTGATGGGGCCAGGGCATTACATCATGCTTCCATTTGTCAAGACTTTGATCCTTTAAGCTCTCTGTGAGCTGAGCAGGGAAAGCCCCTGGTATATCAAGGCAGCATTTTAGACTTTACCATTATCAGGTGCAATTCCTTTCCCCTTTCTCCGTAGAAAGAGAAAAAAACGAACTGTGCCCGAACTGCGAGGCCAGCATCCTTCCCTGTTTCACGGTCTATCCCTGCACACCTGACGAGGTGCAGACGCAGCCTGGGTTTGCAAAGTCTGGTGCGTGTGTGTGTGTGGAAAGGGACCGAAGCAGCARCTAGAACAGCTCCTACATGAGAAGCTGCGGATTCCCTCCCCCARGGAGCTTTGTTACCGCTGTTGGCCCCGAGGACACAAAAATCAGCTTTTTACCACTGAGGGGAGATATCTGAACTGGGGAGGCTCACTGGAGCGGAGTGGGATTTTTTTCTAACTCTTTTCCACGTGGCATTTTGGTAAATAAATACAACCAACCCACCCAAGCAAAGAGGAGTCTGCGGAAACCAGGTCTCTCCTTTACTTTTTGCAGCAAGTGAGGGTGTTTCAGGCCGCAGCACAGGACCTGCGAGGACAGAGAACATCCCCAGACAGGTTGGGAGGCGCCTGTGCCCGGGAGCCACCGCTCCCGCGGTAAAAGCGCGGCCCTAACAACACCGCGGGTGCCTGGGATGAGGCATAGGGGGTATAATCCTCTCATTTCCTTCCTTAARTTTCAGAATAAATTATAGCAAGAAACAAAAGAGAAAAAAGGCCCCGGAGGCCAAGTCTTTAAAACGAGGGTTATCTCCGAGAATGGGAGGGCGAACTGCTAAAAGCCCCGATTTTTTCACCCTCATCCCCTGGGGTGTTAGCAGCGACAAAGCAGGGTGGAGGAGGGAGATGATGTGTTTTCGATAAAGAGCATTAAATACGGCTATTTTTTGGTATTTGTTTTTTTTTCTCGAACTCGGCAGCGTTACCGAATTCGCCCCGACCTGAAGTGCGCTTACACTTTCTCAGAAAGACCTAAATAGAACAAGGGAGTTTTTATTAATTTTCCCGCGGGGATGAGAAAGGCGGGATCTCTGGAGGAGAGGAGGACAGCATCTTGAGAGCGTGTTCATCTTCATGTCTTCACAAGCATTTCTAACACACATCCAGGCTGTGTGAAAGGCGTGAAAGGCTTCTGCCACGAAGCGATGGATGCTTTAGATGGTTAGTCTAGAAGGAAAAGCAGGTGGATGAATTATAACCTTTGCTTGATACCACATACAATACCACTTAATACCAAAGACGACTCTGCTTGGCTCAGATTTCCCGGTAAAGGCACSGAACGAAGGGAGAAGTGTGTGACTGTCCCTCATTCCCCCAACAATCTTGGGTCCACTTAARACGCCTGTACCCGGGATGCTGTTTGTCAGTGCCCCGGGTACGCTGCCTTCAGCCAGAGATCTAGCACGGCTCGAGGCACCATTAAAGGATTCCCTCTTTTATTTGTCGGTTCCTAAGGTGRCAGCGCCGTGGTGCCCATGTCCCGGAATCCCGGCAGTCATCTCTCGGGGGATACTCTGTGTGAGCCTAAAATCTCCTTGGGGAGCCTGAAAAAAACCGTGAGGAACCTGAAATCATCACGGGAGAAGGCAGGAACCGACCATTTGCTGGAAATGGGTGTGTGTGTCTTGGGAGTAGGAGGGACTTCCTTTAGAAGTGGCTTTCTATCATATAACAAAATTAAAAACTACCCTGTGGGTTAAGCCATGCCAAATAAAGCAAACAGGGGATGATAAATGATCCCCTGGAATGAAAGCAAAAGAAGTATTTACTAGCATTTTGTTTTGCGTTGCGAGAGCAAACCTTGCTATCAAGGGTCATGCTCGATGATTCACTTGATGAAGGGACTACAAACTGATGTAACCAGGGTTGTTTAGCTCCGCTCCTCGCTCCCCGGGCACCATCCCGCTGGTCGGGGCTATCCCGCTTCTCCTCCCGAGACCCTCCGGGTGCGGGSCGGGCAGCGCTCTCCCTGCCGTCGGGGGAGTCTGTGCTTGGGCGACCGAAGGAGGAAAACCTCGGCTCCCGCAGGAAAACCCTGCCGGACGGGGTTGCTGGGCGACAAGAGTGAAGGGAATCGCTGACTCCCCGCATCGACGGCTGCGGGGCTGYTTTTACAGCCTGGGCTGTGGTGAGGGTTCGTGCTTCTCGCTCAGAAACCCTGAGCAAAAGCGGGGCCATGCTTTAAAAACAAAAAAGACAAAGAAGCAAGGTCAAAAACCCCAACCCAACCAACCAAAAAMCCACCAAACAAACAAATAAACAAAAATCTCTGCATGTTTGCCCTTCGAGCCGCCAATTCACACAGAGCCGATCCCGCCCCTCAGCGAGAGATGAGCACATCTTCACCGAGGAAAGAAACCGCTCCCTGTTGTTGCTCCTTCTCCCCRGCATTTTTAGTGCAATAACGATAACGAGACGTTATCAAGTGAGATCGCTGCTTTGCCCGGATTTTGACCAGCAGTGAATTTTGCTCAGGTATCCCCAACTTTCAGCAGGGTTTCCCCTGTGGAATAGCCAGGCAAACTCTCTAAATACCTCCTGGCGCCAGAAGAAAGTTCTCATGTAATAGATACCCGCTGGTGTGAGAACACGGATTCTGCTCACTTTGTCAATCAGCCGGGGGAGGAAGGGGATTGAGGAGAGGGAGATGGGGGTTTCCTTTAATTAAAAAAAAAAAAAAAAAAAAAAAAAAAAAAAAAAAAGTGGAGTAT